TGGTGGCTCACAACCATCTGTAATGAGGTCTGGTGCCCTCTTCTGGCCTGTAGGCATACACATAGATAGAATATTGTATACATAATAAATAAATAAATATTAAAAAAGAGGGATCTGTTTTTAAAAAAGCTTTAGCATATCAGCCAACTTATTTGATAGATGCTATTTTGATTCAGGCAAGGCTAAAATGAATGATACTGGGCATGACTAGAATGGAAAAAAGAAAAAGGGGGGTTATTTGGCTGCTTGGAATAGCCCAATCTTCTTACAGAGTGAATATTGAGGGTCTGAATGTATAATCTAAGTTGGAGAGATGGCTAAGTGGTTATAACACTTGTTGCTCTTACAGAGAACCCAGGTTCAGTTCCCAGCACCCACATGGTAGTTCATTACCATCCATAACTCCAGTCCCAAGAGATCTGATGCCTTCTGTCCTGCACAGAATAGTTAAACCTGGGCTAGAAGGGTGCTGGAGAGATGGCTCAGGTCCTGAGTTCAATTCCCAGCCACCATATGGTGGCTCACAACCATTTATAATGAGATCTGATGTCCCCTTATGGCTTGCAGGCAGGCATGCACTGTATACAAAGTAAATAAGTAAATCTTTATAAATAAGTAAAGCCTAGGTTGGGCAGTGGTGGCACACACCTCTAATCCCAGCACTCAAGAGGCAGAGGCAGGCAGGTCTACAGAGGGAGTTTCAGGACAGCCAGGGCTACATGGAGAGACCCTAGCTCAAAAAGGGGAAGAAAAAAAAAAAAAACAACATAACTCATGTCAAGTTAAATTGAAGAAAGAGTGGTACTCCAAAATTATATTGGTAGTGACTTTGACTGTCCCTCAAAGCATAACTGAATACAGCAGACATTGAAAGAGGTCGTGTGCTGTGGTGATTAAGAGCATCGAGCTTTGAGGAGACTGCTAGAGCTTTAAATCAATGAAACATTGCAATAAAAGCCAGAATACAGAATAATTGAGTCACAGACTCTTCAGAGGTGGAGGCTCTAATTCTTTTTGTGGTCTTTGACAGTTATATAGATTTCAGCCTCATCTATATCTAAAAAATCCCCAGGTAATTCACCTTTGTCTTGCTTCACAGAAATTGAGGCAAAACATAGACAGCTGAATTTCCTGTTATGTGGATTTGGGTTTGTTTGGTTTTGGTGTTTCAAGACAGGCTTTCTCTATGTATCCCTGGCTCTCCTGGAACTCTTGTAGATTAGGCCTTGAACTCACAACTGCCTGTCTTTGTCTCCAGAGTGTGAATTAAAGGCGTGCACAACCACCTGGCTCAAATTTTCCAATTTAATCTTGTGACTTGATGTAGAAACACTTTATTCTTTTTTAAAATCTTGTTCAAAGCTATCTCTCCCTCTTTTTTTTTTTCCAATAGAAAATAAACCTAAAAAAGAGTTAATTAAAGTTCTAATTCAGAGAGGATATGATTCTGATCCTGTGAAAGCCTGGAAAGAAGCTCAGCAAAAGGTAATTTCGTTACTGTTTATCTATTGGCTACGGCACACGTGCAGGCAGAGCACCATACACAAAGATAAAATGGGGGAAAATTTTTTAATTAAAAAATGTAAAATCTGTTTTTTTGCATTTCTAGAGGTCACAAGTAAAAAAAATAATCAAGGACTCTATATGTTTGTTTCATGTTCTACATTTTAATTTGTCTTTTAGGTTCCAGATGAAGAAGAAAATGAAGAAAGTGACAATGAAAACAGCGACTCCACGGCAGACTCTGGACCAACTTTCAACTACCTTCTGGATATGCCCCTCTGGTATCTAACCAAGGAAAAGAAGGATGAGCTGTGCAAACAAAGAGATGAAAAGGTCAGTTGTAGAAGAATGATATGGTCAACAGTTAATATTGTTTTGATGGGAAAAACTGTTGTGTGTAAAAATACTATTTGTACATATTTACTACCTCAATTTTTTGTAATCTTATGAAGGAACAAGAGCTCAACACATTAAAGAAAAAGAGTCCATCAGATTTGTGGAAGGAGGATCTGGCTGTTTTTATTGAAGAACTGGAGGTATGTGTTTATAAAATTTATATTAATTATACTTACATTAATACTTATATTAATATTTACAAGCTAGCAGCATGTTCACTCTTAAGTATTTATTTTTCTTATGTGTTTGTGTGTTGAGGGGTGTGGGTAAGTGCAGGTGCTCACAAAGGCCAACGGGGCCAGTCCCCTGGAGCCACAGTTACAGTGTGGGTGCTAAGATCTGAACTCATCCTCAGCAAGAGCAATGAGATCTCTTAACCACTGAACCATCTGTCCAGCTCAAGCAGCATACCTTTTTTATCAAGAAACTTCAGGGCTGGAGAGATGGCTCAGTGGTTAAGAGCATTGCCTGTTCTTCCAGAGGTCCTGAGTTCAATTCCCGGCAACCACATGGTGGCTCACAACCATCTGTGATGAGGTCTGGTGCCCTCTTCTGGCCAGCAGACACACAGACAGAATATTGTATACATAATAAATAAATATTTAAAAAAAAAAAAAGAAAAAGAAACTTCAGCTGGGCGGTGGTGGTGCACGCCTTTAATCCCAGCACTTGAGTTCGAGGCCAGCCTGGTCTACAATAGCTAGTTCAGGACAGGCTCCAAAGCTACAGAGAAACCTTGTCTTGAAAAACCAAAAAAAAGAAACATCACATTTGATAAAAGAAGAAATATAGAAGAAAGAATACATCCCAAAATAAGGCTGGGTATGGTTGCCACTTAGATGTTAAACCTGTAATCTCTGACTAGGTCAGGAACACCAAAATTTTAGGCCAGCCTGGGTTACCCAGTGAGTTCAAGACCAGCCTGAATTATATATGTAATAAGACCCTGTCAAAATCCAAGTACTAGGAATACCATGTGTAAACTTTTGCCCTCTATGCTTAGCACATAAAAAAAAATAGTAACATAAAGGGAAAAAATTAGGCAGAATGTGGTGCACATGACTGTAATTCTAGCATTTGTAAGGAAGATGAGGAGTCGAAGGTCACCCTCAGAAACGGGGACTTGGACACCATCCTGCACAACATGAAAACAAAAGCAGAGAGGGCAATCAAGATGGCTCAACGGGTGAAGCACTTGCTGCCCAAAACTGGCAACCTGTGTTCAAACCCCAGAGGTCAGATAAGGAGGAAGAAGAGAGCTGATTCCACAAAGTAATCCTCTGGTTCCCACATGTTTTCTATGACATGCATGTGCTCACACATACAGTAATGAAAATATATTTTTAAAGGGAGGAGAGAAATATTATTAAATACTAGTTAGCATAAAGTAAATAATGGGAAGAAATACACTAAAATTAATATTTTTACAGAAAAGAACCAGTGTTAAATCACTTTTAGAGGTGGCCCCTCAGTTTCAGAATGTCCTTTGTTACATAAATCTCCTTAGCAATACTTAGTTTCGTAATATTACAAATGTGTGTGTGCATATATACACACATAGCATTTGTCCTTTAACACGGTTTTCTCTTTGTCTTCAGAAAGATTAAATGATGAAATTAGATATAGGCACCCAGTTCTGTCTCTGCCTTCTCAAAGTCAGTCACGTTGTGCCTTCACTAAAGCTGATCACAGATTTATATTAAATTGTAAAAACGGCAAGTTCTTAACTGTTGCTTTTTAGGTATCGTGTCTTCTTCACCTACGAATTTGTTCTCATAATTCTTTTTCATAGGTTGTTGAAAACAAGGAAAAACAAGATGAACAAGTAGGACTTCCTGGAAAGGGAGGGAAGGCAAAGGGGAAGAAAGCACAAACGTCTGAAGTCTTGCCTTCTCCTCAAGGAAAAAGAGTTATTCCCCAAGTGACCATGGAGATGAAAGCAGAGGCAGAAAAGAAAATTAGGAAGAAAATTAAGGTAATACTTTAAGCTTATTTCTCTTTAGAAATGAAATAAATTAAGACCAGTGAGATGACTCAGGTAAATGTTTGACCCCAAGTCTGAACAATCCAAGTCCAGTCCACATGGTGGGAGAAGAGTGCTGACCTCTGAGCATAAATAAGTGTAATACTTTTTTTAAATGGAGCAAGTTATATCTAAATTCCTAAGCCTATTGTTTGGAATGTATCCTGTTTCTGATCCACTTTCCTTTCTCAAGCACCTGATGTTTTTAAATATTTAAGTATAAAATATCATAACTACACCTTTATTTGGATCTCCTTTAATATCTTATGTCTATGGATGTTTTGCCTACATTTGTGTCTATACCATATGCATGTGTAGTACCCACAGAAACCAGAAGACCTTGGATCCCCTGGAACTGGAGTTAATGGTTGTGACCCTCCATGTGGGTGCTGGAGATTGAACCCTGGTCCTCTAGAAGAGTAGCCAGTGCTCTTCACCACTGAGTCATATTCCAGCTTTTGATTTTAGATTTGTTTTGTTTTTTTTTCCAGTTAGAGTCTCAATATATTGCTCTAGCTGTCCTGGAGCTCACTGTGTAGACCAGGCTAGCCTTGAACTCACAGAGATCCTACTGTTTCTGCTCCCGCAGGCTGGGATTAAAGGCGTGCACCACTACTGTCCTCTACTATTCTAGATCTCTTAACCAAAACCCAAAGAAAAATATATTCTTTCACTGTATTTGTGTCTGTGTCTATCTGTATATGAATATTTGAATTTATTATTCCAAATAATTAGACAGAAGTTGAGTGTTTCTGTCTTGCTGGGATTTGTTTCTTACATGTTGCTGTTTTTTTAGAGTGAAAATGTTGAGGGCACGCCTACTGAGGATGGTCAGGAACTAGAAGGCCTTAAACAAAGACTAGAGAAGAAGCAGAGGCAGAAGAGAGAGCCAGGTATTACAACATGTTGAGCAAGGTGGTATAAACTCTATAAGTGTTATTAATATATTCTACATAGATATTCAATGTTTTTGTAGCCTGGATTAAGTATTGTAAAGGAAGGCTGTACATGACTTAGATTTGAGCCTTATGTTGTCTTTGATTTGTTTTAGAAAGATTCTTGTAATATAGCTAGTGACTTGAATTC